TCCCGAAAAAGACGCCTCACCTGAAAATGACTACCTCAGTTTAGTCGATGGGGTAATGGCTACAACAGCCCAAAGTTCAGGAGGACCCCGTGGATATACTGGAGGCAATCTCCTTGTCCGAAGATCCTGGTCCAGCAACCCTTGGTCCAGATGAGAGGTGGGGTAGCTGAGCCAATGTTAAGGCGTGTGCACCTGGACTATGGATTGCCTCTTCTACCGTTGGTCAGGCTGCCTGAACCTTCCACTACTCCAGCTACATCTGCACACAAAAAAAAAGCGGAAGGATCGCAAACTGGAGGGCGTGCTGGAGGTACTTCCGGGACCTGTCACAATCCCTGTCCTCTACCGGTGGCGGATTAAGGAGACCTCCTCACTATCCTCGATCGTTTGTCTCGCCGACACCCATAGCTGCTGCTGCCTCTTCTAAGTTGCCGTCCAACCTCCCTACTGCTGGTCCACCCAGATCGGCGCTTAAAGTCTCCGCCACTTCGTCTGCACCCGAGGTTCATCTTCCCACCACTTCGCCCGCACCTGAGGCTGTTCTCCTCGCCGCTTCACCCGCACCCAAGGCTCCAGTCCCCGCTCCTGTTCCCATGGCTCCAGTCCCCACTCCTACTCCCGTGGCTCCAGTCCCCACTCCAGACCCTGAGATTTCGTTGCTCGTTCACGAGGAGAAGGAGGAACTTGAGTGGGATCCCTTGGGGACCACCCTAACACCGGCCCCAAGAACCACCCCCAGAGCAACACACCAATGTTCACTCCATCCGGTGGTCCCTCCTGCTTCCTTCTCACCTCCTCTGGCAGTCCCTCCTGCTCTTGCCTCACAGACACGTGGGGTCCCTCCTGCACCTGCTTTGTGGTCGCGTGGGACCTCTCTGACTCCCTGGCTGCCCCCACCCTTCACCTCTTTGCCCCCTGGTTTGGCCCCTTTTGGTTATCCGCCCCCGGGTTCCATTTCCCTTGTTGGTGTGCCCTCTGTGTTTGTTACACGTCTGTCTGCTCCACCTCTGTTCCCTCCTGGTCCCTTTACTCCCCCGGTCAGTGTGCCCCCTATTGGTTTGGTTCCTCCCGTGGGATTTTTCCCTGGTTTTGTGCCCCCTGGTGAGTTTGTCCCTCCTTTTTGTCTGTCCCCTGGTTGTGTTTCCTTTATGTCTTTTCCTTTGGTTTCCCTGGGTCCTGTGTTTTCATCTTTGGTGTCCCTGTGTGTGTCTGCATTCCCCGTGGTGTGTCAGCTGGTGTCACGGTTGCTGTCCTTGTGCCTATTCTGCATGTCTGTGCTGTTCCTGTCATCCCGTTGATGTTTTTGCTCTTCTCCCTTTAGGTGGTGTTGCATGCATGCCAGGACATTAATTAATTAGAATAATATGCATACAAATAAATCAAAATGAAAATTTTACCTTTTTAATTCCAACAATATTTAATTTTCCCACTTACTAATCTAGACTAAAATTTTCTCATAGCTTCATCGTGGATTTCTGAACTTTTCTAAGTGCTTGGTGGCATCTATATTGCCGTATTCAGAGGAGGTTCTAGGGGCGGGGCCACAGGGGCATTGGCTCCAGCTGAAATCTGATTGGCCCCCTGAAATGCCCCTGTCCTGTCACTCATCTGTGTTTTGTCCGAGAGCGATTAGATGCAATGCCAAGCCCAAACACTAGTGGTGCTCATGAGCCAAATAGGAATATCAAGCATCAATAAAGCTTACAGACAGTGTTGCCAACTTAGTGACTTTGTCGCTATATTTAGCGAGTTTTTAGACCTCTCTGGCGACTCGTTTTCAAAAAAGCGACTAGCGACAAATCTAGCGACTTTTTCTAGTGTTATTGGAGACTTTTGGAGACTGACGTGGAAGCACGTATCGTTCTTACTCTCCTCACCGAGCAGCGGGTGCTGCCGTGGGCTCCCCTACCGTCCCAAAGCATTCACAGGCGGACAGTCCTCACGCAGCAGCCCCGCCCAGCTGCAGTCAGAGCAGGAAATGTTCACCTTTCCGCGTCCAGACTGCAAATGAATTGCGCATGCGCGAAGCCACCACTGGCTGATCCTGCCCAGGCTTATTGCCAAAAACTCCGCCAAGTATGACAGTTTTTAAGAATAAGTCATTCCGCCAGAGTATCTCTTTGGGGTCACTTTTGCCGGTCCCAAGCCCGGATATAGGAAGAGGGTTGGAATTATGATATAAAAAAACAAGAATTGACAGAAGAAAGTTCATTTGTAGTTCTAAACGTATTTAGGGTGTTTTTTAACCACCTTTTGTCTTTTGACATTATACCTCTCTCCTACNAAGAATTGACAGAAGAAAGTTCATTTGTAGTTCTAAACGTATTTAGGGTGTTTTTTAACCACCTTTTGTCTTTTGACATTATACCTCTCTCCTACAGCGTCCATTATAATTACATGTACATTATGCAAATTAGGCGATGGCGTCATTTAGCGACTTCTAGCGACTTTTGGGACAACCAATAGCGACATTCCTTGCTGAGGAGTTGGCAACAGTGCTTACAGAAGAAGAAGATTTGAACGATACTGCGGAGAAAGTTTTTCAACCGATAACCATCTATGTTTTGAGGAGATGGTTGGTAAGTCATAAATCTCTATTTACTCAAAGCTGTCACGTATCTTAAGTCTGACAAACATTAAATTAAGAAACAAAGCAAACATTAGTTTACAGTAATGTTAACTGAGGCCCTACTTGCAAGGTGTGAAGGACACCTTAGCGCGAGCTGGGCGGAGGGGTGCTAGCGATATTTCGACTAGCACGAGTGGGCGGGAAACTGATCCACTAGCGCGAGTGGAAGTGAACAAGCCTGAGCAGTGCTTCGTGTGAGTGCAGCTTTTCAGCCCTATGTTTGATTAAAAATCATTTACGAACAACAGTCATCTTGGGGTGCTGAGTATTGAGTCCCGACGAGCAAAAGCATTAGACATAAATGAATTTGTAAGACGATTCAGTTCCTGTCACAAAAACCGAAGAATAATGCTGTTTTAGAAGAGCAAAATGTACAGTAGTCACCCACATGGAACTTTGTGTATGTGAGAGTATTTGTGAAAAAGTAAAAAGGTTTTAAAAAATGAATAAAAAGCTGGATTTTCTCACATGCTGTGTGTGTTTGTGAGTATTTTGTCTATGTACAGTAAAAATGCATGTAAAATTGGTAAGGAGATTTTACTGTGTAAACTTTTTTTTAATTTACATTCAAGTGTTTCAACATGGTGTGACTGGTGAAATGTATACACCTTACCAAAACCATGGATTGTGTGCAAGGATGTAGTAGAAATACTTGGCCCCTCTATGAATATTGTGGCCCCTTGATGGATAAAAACAAAAAACAAAAAAACTGCTAGATCCGCCACTGGCTATATATTTTTTTTTGTGCAGTACGTACAATTTATGTATTCCAATAATTAGGTTAGCTTTCATTCAGTACCACGCCTCCCTGGCACAAAAATGCCCCATAACGCTAGTTATGATGATCTACAGAAGAAACATTTTCCAGTACGTTATTAGTGTGCATTTCCAAGGGCACTTGTTGATACCTCCTCCCGATTTACAAGTTTATATCTTTACGAGAATTTTCTGAAGAAAAAATAAAAATAAAATGTTTCATATATATATATATTTTTAATCTGCACGTAAATCAGCACGTACTACCCAAAAAACGCCGTCCGTAGACCGACAAGGTTTTCAGATAAATTTGCTTTGTGGAAAAAAAACTACGGAGCCGCTTAAGTGTCATGGTAGAAAAAAATATTATCGTGCTCTCCAGTTACCAATTCGTGCATCGAATTAATTACCAATCGGAGAGCCGGTGTTCCGGCCAATTCGGTTTCCCTATGTTTCCCCTGTCTATCAGGGAATAATGTTTCTCCTAATATTTAGGCAAATATGTATGTGAGATGTCTGAAAATCACTCAGGTACATTATTACATGTGAATACAGTAGATCGTCACGCATAATATAGTCTTATATAAGCAATACTATAGCCTACCGTTTTCATCAAGAAATATCTCTATCCAGCGAATTAAATACTTTCATTTATTATCTGTAAAAACTAAAAACATCGAAAGGCATGTGATGTTTTAAAATATATGGCTTGTTTACCTCAAGAGCTTCTTAAAAAGACATGAAAACAACAGCGAAACCGTGTACAAATCAGCGCGGGACAGGGGAAACATAGGGAAACTGAATTGCCCGGTACACCTGAATTAGTAACTCCAGAACACGAATTACTACGAGAAAAAAATCTACCATAACACGTACCTATAAGGGGCTCCACGACCCAAGCTGATGGCGTTAATTATGCATTGTTCATTTTACACCAACTCAGAATGGGATACATGAAGAAAAAAAACACCACATCTGCTGAAAATCAAAGTGACCAAAACTGATTGTGAATGTTACTATTTTAGCAAATAAGTGTTTTTGTTTTTCTCCAAGGATTTTGTGTTTAAATGTGAGTGTATTTTTATTATATGTCAATTCTAATAATAGGCCTACGTGTTTGGCAAAAAAAAATAAAATGTCAGAAACCAAAGTCACAATTTTTATTGCATTTCTATGGGAAAAGTTGTTGCTTAAAGAGCGACGATTTGGAACGAATTAGCTCGTAAAGTCGAGAACAACTTGTACTCTAAAGCCCGTTACATCAGCTTCGAATGGAATTAATACTTCGCCGTGGATTGTGAGATATCCCTTCCGTTACATAGTGATGTTGTTGTACACATTGCGGACGGAATATAGGCGTATCGAGAGGAATGCTCTATAGTTCCCTTCCCTTGTATATTTCAGTTAGAAACGTGCAATCTTATCTGGGGACACCCTTCGAAACGCGACCATAACGCGCACCTTTTCCAGATAAAAACAGGGCGTGGCGCCCTTCCCATAACGTCACAATGAGGACCCCTGAAAGCGGAAGAGGATGCGGCTGCTGGCATGGAGCTGAGGTCTGCGAGCCGCCTCGCGAAGTGAGCAGCCTAAATAAGGTGAGTAGCCGAGTAATAAATAATAGGTGGCAAAACAATGTGCACATTTTTGCTATTCTCGTAGTTGTTGGCGGTGTAATAAAGATATTTAGACAAAGAACCCGATTCTTTGTGGCACAATGTTATTTCAGGTCATGCACGTAAGAGGCAGGCTACCAGGCGGGCGCACCGCGTGTAGTTTTGATTGGAATCGGATATATTTGTATTCGCGTACCTTAGGTTGAGTTTCAATCGTTCAGGTGATGTCGGTGCAAAATGCTACTCAGTAAGGGCCTTGATTGTCAGTATTGGAGGAGAGGGTTAACTTTACTTTACGCTTTTAAAGACTATTACTTTTGCTTTTTTTTTTTTTACCTAAATCGAGGAACAGCTGCATTCTGATAGCTTGGTTGTGTTAGCCTGTGTAATTACGTGAATGCGCAAATTCTTTATTACCAGTTGAGAATTTAAGGTAAAGTGTCATGGCATATATATTATAAAGAAAGTGACGCATTGAACGTGAACAAAAAGTTAAAATAAGATCAAAGCGTTTGGATTTGTTTTCCACCGTTTTATTTCTGGCAATGAGACCGACTTATAATGGTTAAACTGCCTAGAATTTAATGTACTTGGCGGGCGCGTCCCAGGCTGCAGCACCTAATGAACCCGAACGACGCCCGGATGGTTTGTCTAGCTCCGAGGTTTTAAGCTCTTTTCCACGTTTGAGACCCTCGGACAGAGCGGGTCTCCGGGCTTAAGATCCCCGCGACGCCCCCGGGAGCTGGGGCCAGTATCACAAAGTTGGATTTGTCTAGCAGGATAACTAGTCTGATTTAAGGTAGTCTGGGCTAAATTTAAGTGAATGAAAATAAAGTCCATTTAAACTGCGGTACCTTACCCGACAGGTTATGCCGTTAAGCAAGGAAAGCAGCATCGTGATGCAGGCCTGGGTGCACTACGTGAAATAAACACGGAGGGAGGTGCTTTGGTAAAAATAAGCAAGCAAGACAGTGTTTTGCTAGGCTTAAGTTATACACGCATTATTTTCTGTAACCTAGACTGGAGATCGAGGCGGAGGGGGGTCCACTCTGGGTAGTACCAAGAATATCTGAGCTTTGTACACTTTACTCTTCTGTAATAACAGGGATTTGTCCTATGCATGTTAAAGCTTCTTGCTGCTATTGTATGTGACTTTTTTTTTAATACCTGCTGCTGTTCCATGTGTCCTTGTTTGCTTCAGAGACTCCCTGTTTATAGGTTGCTGCAACATACCTCCAGTACACAGAACGTCCCATCTGGCCAGAATGGGCTCTAAGCGGTACACCAGCCAGCCTTCGACCCGCCGGGACAGCTTTGAGGACGGGGGGGCCTTTGAAAAGTTTGAGCTGTATGTCCCTAAGGAGGCAGAGGTGATTGTTGTTCCTGAGAAGGCTCTGCCTTTGTCCATACGGAGCAGGATGAGCTCAGTCCCCTCGGTGAAGAAAGCAGCTGACGGGGTGGCCGCTGTCTCTGACTGCATGGCCACTTGGATCTCTCCTGTTGTGATTCAGGAGAGAGAGGCTCAGCTTCGAGACTCCAGCAGTCCCCAAGATGACGGACTGGCGCGGGCGCGTCTTCACAGTGCTGTCGTGGCGTCTGCAGCGCTGAGGCACTGTTGCTGGCTTCCCATCACCTGTGCACATCTGGCTGCCTTTAATGTCCTGAGGGACTTCTTGCCCCTAGGGCAGGGCTGTCAGTCCAGAAAGGAAAGGAATGAGGTCCTTTCGGAGCCCACCTCCTTACCTCCAGGACGCGTCCTCCGCTTCACCCGTGACTCCATCATCATCCATGGGGGCCGGATTTTCTTATCCATCAAGAATTCCGCAGCCGCCCTCAAGAGGAGCCATGGTCGCCCCGTTCCCGTACAAGATTCTTCACCCCTGACTGTCATACAGTGTCAGGACAACTTCCGTACGTCTCCGGGCACCCGACAGAACAGGAAAAAGCCCTGTGCCACCGCGGCCAGCGTGCAGGTCAGTGCTGCCGTCAGAGCAGGCCTGTGAGGTTCGGGGTACCTGCAGCGTGCAGGTCAGTGCTGCTGCCAGAGCAGGCCTGTGAGTTTCGGGGTACCTGCAGAGTGCAGGTCAGTTCTGCCGTCAGAGCAGGCATGTGAGGCTCAGGCGGTATCTACATCCTACGGTGGGGCTTTGAACATCTTAGGAAGCGGATGCTAAAAGCCCCTTAGGGATGCAATAATTGTTTCAGCCAGTAATTGGTATCGGCCGATACAGCAGCAGTTGGCCACAGGCCGATGGTTAAAGATGAGGTGATTATTTATCACTGCTAATAACGTTTAAAATGGTGCCCGTATTGCTTTGCACACCTACATGCTAAATGGTTAGAAATGTCTGCTGTGTGGAATAATTGTAACGTTGCAAAATGCATTTTGCCAACATTGTTCTGCTAAAATTTTATATGGCGGACCCACTAATAGACATTTCAACCCAGCAAATCTGTTTGGTCACCTTTAGGCGAGACAGTGAAGAATATGAAGAGTTTCTGAGAAACAAATCTGTTCCAATACAGAAGGCTGCAGTGCTGCTGAATAGCGTTAGTCTATCAGCAACACAAGCATTTGATAGGAGGAGAAAATTCATTGCAGACAGTGCGAACTCAAAAGATATTATTTGGAAGATTAGGGGTCATCATATTTGATTAACCCTGTCTCATAAATATACAAGATGCCTACCGTTATAAAATACAGTGCTCTGTGACTGCTATATGCCAGATTTAATGTTTTCTTACCAAACAATAAATGCTTTCATATTCTTTAAATATAATTAATTTAGTTTTTTAAATTTTATTTGTGTGGAGTGTCCCTTTAAACTTATTTAAGCAGATCCTCCCAAGCAATTTGTATCAAAACAATCTACTGTCTGTATCGGCCAGGAACTTCCTTATCGATGCATCACTAGAGCCCCTGTGTACACTATCAAAAGTGAGTAACTGGAAAGTTAAACACGGTATGTTTTTCCTGCTTGTCCTTAATATACAGATCTCATCTCTGCTTCAGCCTTGTTCCATGGCTAGAGTGAAGCTTCAGGATGCAGGGGCTTTGCTGCAGAAGTTTGGCATCAGTCGGGAGGTGCGTGTGACTCTGAGGAGGCTACCTGAGATACACAGAGGATGCGGGTGCGACTGGCAGCTGGATGCTGTGATGGTGAGTCCTGCCTGCCCTCTACATCTCTATAGCTGGGCTGAACCAAGTAGACGGCAAGGTGTAGTGGTGGTGTTACTACTCAATCATTTGGGGATTTGTCAAGTGGATTTTATTGTTGCTAAGTTTTCTGTGGAGTGTTGTTGTATGAAAGTATGCTCTGTGTTAACTTCTGTTAAGAGCATGTGTGTGTCTCTCTTGAAGTCTAGACTAATGCTAATTTCTTGCTTCCATCTAGGATCGAAATGACCAAATGTTGCCCTCTAGTGGCTCATCAGTAGAGGAGTCTGGTAGTTGTATAAACGTAAAAGATTCCAAAAGCGAAAGTTTCCAAGAACACTGTGCTGTTTTTGATCAGAGTGATCCTGTGGAAGAGAAACATCGGGTGGATAATAAGGAGCAAGACACAAAGGAACCTGTGCTTAAGAAAACAAGACTTTCACACCCTCCTGTGTTAGGGTTACATGAGGGTAATGGAGGAAACAAGACAGTGGATGATGAAAAAGATGGGGATGTGAGCAGGACTGGGTACGGAGAAGAGGGTTCTGCCCTCGGACAGGAGGAAGTTATTGAAGATGGACAAGAAGAAGTGGCCAGGGGTGATAATGGGGACTGTGTGAAACACAAGTGTGATATCAAAAGTGAAGAGACATTGAACTGGGACAGCCACAGCCCAGATAGGTCGCATGCTGGGGAACTGCCCCCCTACCTTGTCACATCCCAGCTAGAAGATCATGCGGCGTTTGACTTCGAGCAGCTGGCAAGGCAGGAGAGGATAAATCGGATTCGGGAGATGATCCGGGAAAAGGAGGCTGCTCTGAGGAGTCTGGAACCCCCCAGTTAAATTCTGCTGGGTGTGGGAGGCACAGTGACTTTGTTTCCTGTTTCTCTGTTCTGTGTTTCCTGGTGCTGACTGAAGTTTTCTTTTGTTTTCCTTTCCCTATTTTGCATACACATTTGCCCCTTGTATTATTGAGTGCAATATATGGCCTGTTACAGGTCACATGGTGTGGAGGACACTGGCAATGCCTTTCCATCACCCCCCGTTTCATTATGGGAAATTTTGTAAAAATAAAATTTAAACAGATTGTATACACTACATTTTGTACATGTGCAAAACTGAGGGGGGGGGGGTATGAATTCATGCATAATTAAGCTGATCTTTGCCTGTTTGCATTATGGGATGGCTTGTGCTCCTGAGAATCGGCTGCCCCGTGCTGCTTTACCAGCCAGGTGATTCCATTCTGTATGCCGGTTAATGTCTGGGGGTAGAGCACGACTCCAGATATAAATGACTAATTCCTATGATGCCTTCTATTTCAAGGGGCTTCATCTACTGACCTGGGAGCAGTTTGAATAGAACAGCCCTTCTGAAGGTTGCCATTGCGTTAATGACTAGAAACTATGTGTCAGTGGTTGTGAATTGCACTGAATACTTTGTAATGGCTGTACTGATGTACAGCCTTTTGTTCAGTTTCCATGAGCATGACATGGGGGTGGGAAGGGGGGGGGTTACATGACTTGTTATGCATATTGAAGTGTCTAAGCAGGCTGAATGGGATTATTTTAGTTTTTCTGGAGTTGAAGACAATCCATGATGATGGATAAGATCCTGTTTCCTACTTGGTTTCTTCCCCACTGTTGGTGTCGCAGGTTTTGTGAAACTACTCTTTCAGGAATCCGCTGTTGTAGGTGAAATGTACGGTGAGTGAGATGTACGGGGTTTTCAGGATGCGGCAGACAATGCGATTTCTGTTTTCACTCTTGGTGGCTTACCACTGTAACACTGAACAGTTTGGGCAGGGGAGTAGCTGAGGCCATTGAAATTAGCTTCTGTTTGTGTTGACTTGCGATTATCTGCTGTTTTCCGTACTCTCTGCACCTCTGTCCTTGTGCAATAAATCATAATGTGTCTGACAGCTGTTTCTTTTTGTTTTAAGCGTTCCCAGTGTCGTTTACACCTGGTTTACCCGTCCACACCTCCTACATATATGCATGGGAAGAGCCAGATTCCCTTTCTTAGCAGTTAGTCAGCTGCACTGTAAACACAGCCGTTGCCTAGGAGACCCCTAAAGCTGAAATGAGCACACAAAGGTGCTTTTGGGTTTTTACACAAATGTCACTGTCTAGCATAAAGTCTCTAAGAATCCTGCATTTATTTATTTGACTTTATTTTGGTGGCCAATTTTGGCAAAAAAGGGTTTTTTTTTTTTTCCTCTATAGAATCCCAGTAATTTTATCTTTCATCAGGCATTTTTAAGTATGGTCCTCAAAAACCTTTGAGATCAGCATTTACTTGGAAAACGAGATATATTGCAAAACCTGCAACACTCTCTTATCAGCAGCCGAAACAAGTGACATTGCTATGAAAATCTTTTTTGTTTTTCAGCAAAGCTTAAAACGGCGACCCCGAGGCGCTCAGCCGCTGCAGGCCGGATCCCCGGGTTCGGCTAAAGCATTGTTTTAAATTCTAATGAGGAACATTTGAAATCCCATCCATTTAACAATCTATGCACCTTGAAAGCATTTAACTTTAATTAAATTTTATGGTACCAAAGTATGGAGTCAAACTGCATTCATGTGTCCCAGCAGCTTTGTGTTTTCTGTTACCCACCCAGGCTGAGGACCCCCTCCCAGTTTTGCAGTCTCTGGATGGGCATACCCTGGCACAAACAAGTCTGGACATATCTTAGTCTATCGATGGACTTGCCCAGTCAGCCTCACGTCCCCACAAAACAAGCCCTGACGCAGGAGAATTCCCCTGTGGAGAATCCTCTATACAGACCAGCTTAGGAAGGGACTTATTAGTCAAGCAATACTGAGGAAAAGCAGGTTATTAATAATGGCTGCTGGGGGGAGCATCCCATGCAGCAGAACACCCCTGAACTTGGTGGGGGCCATTATTTTGGAGAGCTCTCAGCTGGAAGGCCTTTTTTTAAGCTTGCTTACACTTTTGGGGTTGTGGAGGGGGAGGGGTGTTGGTGCGGCCAAAGTTGCATTGTCTTTTTGTTTCTTCTCTGCTGGGAGGGGCATAGAGCCAGGCCCCGCCCCCTTGAGATATAAGAGGGCAGCACTGTGCAAGGCTGGCAGAGCTGGCTGCGTCGCCGGAGACAGACACGGAGATGGAGACGGGCAGGACGATGCGTTCCTCTGCGAGACCCATGTGCTGTCTGTCATCCAGACACCACCTGCTGAAGGTACTGTATGCGCAGACACCGCCTGCTGAAGGTACTGTATGCGCAGAAAGGGGGGGGGCAAAATCTGTGCTTTTGGCTCCTTCATTCGTTGTTGTTTTATATCCATCTCCTCCATCTTTCACCTTCGGCCAAGGTGATGACGGCTTTAAGGACTGCCGCACACTGCCCCCGAGGCCGGTTCCGTGACCCAGTGAGCACCTGCTTCCCCAGTCAGGCTGACAGATACCGAGAGCAGCACTCCAACGCGGCTCAGTTTTGAAATAACTTTTTCCCCTTTAAGTGGCAGCACTGCACCAGGCTTCTGAATAACGCCGTACAGAGGCTCAGTTTTGCACTTGGCTCTGCTACTGCTTTGCTGTTCTTGTAAAGTTCTGCTGTGTAAAGTGCCGAAACCAACTGCCAGAAGCGCATTGTATTCAGCTACACACACAAGGCAAACACACAATGAAAAAATCTAGTCTGATGTCCAGCATGGGGGAAAAAAGTTTTTCTTTTGATCTGGCTGTATGTGGCCCTGTTTCTGGCCGCTGTTTTCCTTTCTCTTGTCTGCTCTTTCAGCACTCATGTTAGCCTTGGGCCAGCTGCTGCTCCTAGATGCCGCTCTCTAAGACAGTCGGATGTACTCTTTTGTCCCAGTTGTGCTACTGTTTGTGGGTCTGGATACAGTGGGGTAATGTGTCACACCCCCACGACCCTATCAAGCTCCTCTCTGACTAACTGAGAATCATGGTGTGCCACCTGTGACCCAGGACCAGCGCAAAATTGTATAACGGCATCTAGCAAGGTTGCACTGGGCTTGCTGTTTGACCGTGGGCTTAGTGCAGTCCGGGCACTCAGAGTCAGTGTCTGCAATCCACATGATTGACTCTGCACCTCCAGGTCCCTCTGGTGGGGGTGTGTACACGCACGAGCGTGCCTGCATGTAGGCTCAGTGCATTTAGAGAGACATATGAGAAGTTTTATAATTGTCTGAGTTCTGGTTGAGACCCATAATTGAGTATTTTGAATCTTGTGGGCTGTCTGTGTTTGGCTTGTGGAGGCACTTCTGCAGATCCTCTTATCTTTATTACTCAGGGATATTCTGTGTCCCTCTATCAAGGCCTATCTTGTTTATAGGGGCCCGTGTCATTATCCCCACGGTTGACGGCACCGCTTGTTTCCTATACTTCATTTCTTCAAATGATTTTTCTTATTTATTTGCATTCTCATGTGAGTCATGCGGTTTGCTGCTGCACCACTGGGATTACATACTTTGCATGCAATCTGTAGACTGGCAGGCATGAGGAAGATCTTTCCAGAAGCGGTGGCTACAGGTTTCCTCCAAGCTGCTGTGGTTTATTTTGTGTTTGTGTGTTAATGGCACATCTACGCCATCATCTGGTGTTTTTAAACAAACACGGGCTCAATCGATGGGTCTTCGCTGAATCTGTTGAACTTGCTATCGATGAAGCGACAATGACGGCATTTTCTTCAAAGTCTCTTCATGGACCATTTTGCATTTGGAACTTTTAATGGAGGGTGATGCCGTTTTCTGTTGTCCTACTTTCGAGGAAAAATTGTAACATCTAATTATTATCCTCAGTAATTAGATAACATTAGAGGAAGTGTAACCGCATATTTTATGTCTGTATTTGGATTGTACTCTAAGCAATTTGTTTACCTGGGGATATTTTAATCCATTGAAAATACATTGTTGATGTTTTCTTGTTTTAGGTCAGGCTTATGAGAGGGGGTTCAAGAAGGTTTTCAAAGTTAATCATTTCCTTCCTTATCCCAAGTTTTGTTTACTGCTGTTAGTGGCTGGTTTGGTCTGAACCTCCCTCTCTCCTTTACCTGTAATTACAATCCAGCTGCCTAACCCCCTCAGTCCCTAACCCTAACCCCCTCAGTCCCTAACCCTAACCCCCTCAGTCCCTAACCCCCTCAGTCCCTAACCCCCTCAGTCCCTAACCCTCTCAGTCCCTAACCCTAACCCCCTCAGTCCCTAACCCTAACCCTCTCAGTCCCTAACCCCCGCAGTCCTATGCATGGTGTCACTGTGGCCCATGTCTAGGCTACAGCTTCGTGTGTGTGTGTGTGTTTGTATGTGTGTGTGTTTGTATGTGCGTGCGTGTGTGTGTTGGTCGTGTTTATTTTACATTGTCTGGACGAAATGGCCCCCACCATGTAATCAAAACCTGTTATTTTGACGTTGTGAGGAAGATTTTTCAGGTCCTCACGAAGATCTGTGAATGCAGTCAAAAAATTAAAAATGACAAAAGTCTCGTATATTGTTTGGTTACTAATGATTAAGGTTAGGGCTGGGTAGGGGTTAAGGCTGTCATTGTTGGTTTTTAAGTTTTTCTCAAAGAAGTGTGTGTGTGTGTGTGTGTGTGTGTGTGTGTGTGTGCGTGTGTGTGTGCAGGTGCTTCAGCACTAGTCGAGTACCTTTTCGCTCTGCATTTCTGGACTGTGACAGCGGAATAACGCTCCACGTGGACCACATGCCTCACTATTTGCTAGTGTAGCATCACCAGAGCGTGTGTTTGCCCCAGAGGCCGTCTTCCTGAGCTGCTCCCCCCTGTCTTCACAGGTGAGCTGGTGGAGAACCCTCTGCGTGCTCTACCCCGTGCTGTACCTCACGGGGCTCCACGGCGGGGCGGAGGCCCTGAAAGCGCGCTGCGGCCGCGAGCTGGTGGCAGACCTGCAGTTTGTGTGTGGGGACCGAGGCTTCTACCGAGGTAGCCGGCTTCTCACGGATCTGCACGCCACGAGCAACTTTACACTGCTATACTGGAAGGATGGATGCGTAAAATATTACGCACAAATATATTGCAAAATAAAAATATCAAAGGGTCATTTAAATTTATCTGTACTGAAAATATCGGTAAATTAAAACAGAGTTAATGCTAACTGCACTGATGTGTCAAAGTGAAAAGGAATCTGCCCCGGACCTGTACAGGCCTCGGCCGTTACCCATTAGGGGGCAGCACCACACTGGACCAGTGTTTATTCTTCCTAAGCTGCTGGGGCTTGCATGACATGCTGCACTGGGAACACGCAGCTGCCACCAATCTTAACTAAAATGAGCAATGTCACGGCAGAGTCGGAGATCTGCGCCCACATCATGGCACTTGAATATATCCGCTAGTTCCAATTCCAGGTCTTTACCTCTGATGGTAGCTCTGAATGGATGGATGCCTGTTTCAGTGTCAAATTATGGTCCAGCTGATGTCTGTCATGATGTCAGGTTGTTCTGTTTTGCTGCTGCTCTGCAGTAAACTTGTTCCCCTGGACAGAGGTTATGTGTTTCTGGCTGTCAGTAAGGTGGCACTTTGCTTGCCGTCTGCCTGACCTCTTCCCTGCTTACCTCTGCTGTGTCCTCCTCCAAGGATAGCAGCTGCTATAAAGGACCTTCAGGCAGGCTATCGTCAGGGAATGCGGACACGTGTTCACTTCTTGCAGTTATAAATAGGGACAGAGAGTTAAAGAAACTGCCCTTGTGAATGCATGCTGAGTTTTTCTGCACTTGGTAGTTATTGTGAGTAACAGGTAGCTGCACACATTGAGAAGTTACTTCTTACTTGTAAGTTTGTTGCTCATGTATTTAAGTTCATCATATATGTACCTTCTTGTGGTGACGTATGTTTGTGTTCTTTATGTGAGAATGAGTTGCAGTGTAACAGTGACTGCGGTGACTTAGCCGTTCTGTGTCCCTCTCTGCTCAGGAAAGGTATCCGGTGCCAGGGGGGGCGCCCGTCTGCGGGGTAAGGGCATTGTGGAGCAGTGCTGCCTCCGTGGCTGCGACCTGCAGCACCTGGAGGCTTACTGTGCCAAGCCGCACCGTGCCCGGCGACACGCCCCGCCCTCTCACCCGCGAGCCGTGGTGAGACCCTTGCAAATCAGGCATGACCCAGTGAGACGGCACCACCGGGGAGGCCACATCACCAGGAAATCCACATGCCCTAACACACCATGCAAACCTAGTGAGGCCTTACGGCACCAGAGAGAGCACATTGACTGTCCAACCAAGCCCTCAGTGAGACAGCCGATAGCCCCCCGTGTGAGCCACACTGTCAGCTCAAGCCGATAGCCCCCCGTGTGAGCCACACTGTCAGCTCAAGCCGATAGCCCCCCGTGTGAGCCACACTGTCAGCTCAAGCCAATAGCCCCCCGTGAGGCAGTGATGTCCAGGCAGCCCATTTCCATCAGCAAACACTTAACAAGGGGCCTGGGGCACACGGCTGGGTTCTTGAAAGCTGCAGATTTGCATGGTAGACAGAACATATTCTCAATAATGCATTTACGTCGACATATGGCAAAAGCCAGCAGAGGTGGGTAGTCCAGGTCCAGAGATTAACAATCCAGACAAAGATTTTGTTTCAGCCAACCAATTGAGTACTCTGTGACTGTGACTCTTTATTCTCAATTGGCTGGTTTAAACAAAATTTTGGCCTGGATTTTTACTTTTTGAACCTGAACTCTCCAGCTCTATAAGCCAGCACCAGAAACATCAGTCAAGTGCCAATGTTTGCCATCTCTGCTGAACTTTGTAATAAACTCGACAGCGATACCCGGGTGCTTTGTTAGCGCTGAATCCCTGAATGGTGGTGTGTTCCTTCCTGGCACCTGGTAGGAGGAGCTGTACCATGTTGTCTTCCCCAAGAGAGCCCTGGCTTTCCCGAGGCCTGTCCGTCCCACGGTGCCTATGTGGAGACGAGGCAAGGGGGGTGTGGAACGCAGCCTCGAGGAGAAGAAGCCCGCGTCAGGAACCGGACTGGCAGACACCTGGAGGAGTGTGCTGGACATGGGAGCTGTGTGACTGAGAATCGGCGTGCAGGCAGCCGGACCGCACACTCACCTGCTGCTCTGAACACAGGGGTGTTTGCACAGGGGTGGGTGCTGTAGCCTCAGCGATGCCTTCAGCCCCCAAGAGCCACAGCAGCTGCCTGCTTCCTGCTGTTTACCCACATGGAAATGTGAAAGCAGACGGGGGCTCCAAGTCGGCTCCTTTTATGCAGTATTTATTGTAGCTTTTCTGCTTCGGTTGATAAACTATTTAAAGGTGATATTCGGGCACGTTGCATTGTCAGTGAAAGTGTTCAGCACACACAGCTGCTTTTACTGCCTGTACTGGACTGTATCTGAAGAGGTTTTAAGGCATTAAGTTGAAGATGAAACTGTAAGAGTGGAAGGCATTCACACACTTAAGGTCCTTTTATTCTTTGATTTTTTTTTCTTTTTCAAAAAGCATATGCACTATTGAGCATTTTCAAATGCTTGCTTTATGAAATGTTATACTAAGTGGTAATCGTTTGTGTGATGTACTTTCTTTCATTGCATAAACACCCCATCACCTCCGTTGTCTCAGAGAGATATTATGTATGTAGATTAGAGCCAGGAAACCAAATGTTACTTCTTAATTTGGCTTTTGCCTGAAATCCTCTTCTTAGTAATATCAAAGAATTGATCCTATGCCATTGTTTGCACAACAAAGTATTTATATCTTTTTTTTTTTTTCTTGTAAATTTAGGACCAGCTTATTTATGATGGGGGTTTGTTGTCCCTCCCATGAAGATGTATCCTCCTCCTCCCCCCATGAGTTTAAGGATTTTTTTTTTTCTTTGGTTCTCGAAGTGCTTTGCGGAGGGCTGAGGGATGCCCGACCTCTGACCTTGAATCTGCCAGTTTTACGGTGTTGGTACTAGAATCACACCAGGTGAAGTTACCCAGTAACCATATGCAATTAACCCAAATGAGTGCCAGAGTGACCCAGATCCGGATTAAGAAGCATTGTGGTCAGTTAGGGGGTCAGTCAGCCTCCCAGTATTTCAGCCATTTATGTTAGTTTTTTTTTCTGTTTTTTTTTCTACATAAAATAAAACGAATATAAATAGACCTAATCATGAGGTGACAGCCTGAAAATGTCAGAACCTATTCATTGTTTTTCCAAGAAATCCCTTATCTACGGAACCCGGAGGGGGAGGGGGCACAGCACAGATAGTCATGGAATGTGTTTTTTTATTTTTATGCGCACAATGTATGAGAATCCCTAAAATGTGCACTGCATTTGGTTTTTAATGATCTCTGACAGGTTAAATTGTGTTTTAGTTATTTTGCCAAAGGAAACATGCCTGCAGAGGCCCGACGCCGGACTCATTTGTACGAATACCATGGGTTTTATGCTAGTAAATTTATTTGCTCAGATCTTTGTAATGCATAATTTGTCTCCAGTCCAGCTTGGTCTTCTTCTGCTAGTCCTGCCACATGTCCACACAAAGTTGCACACAATTCTGTGATGGAAATTAGGGTTTATGGCCGTTCAAATCTATGCAAAATAATAAATATATGTATACTCCATTCCACAGCCATTCCAGCTTTGTCTTATTCTGCTAGACATGTCCACACCAAATGTAAATCTATCCCATGGTAGAAATGAGGTGTTACGGTCATCTAATTCTTAACACTGCACATGGTAACAACTAATGGCCCATATGTGTACATGAGGCCTTATCTTTGTAATAATGTAAGTTTCCCATTCCAGATGTATTCTCCCACACTTCTTTAATTGAGAAAATCTATGCTTTGCGGTCATTTAGTTACCATTTACATGTCAGGTATGAATTTGCCTTTTATTTTAAGTTGTTAATTTATTTACTACTAGCATTGTCACAATTGAAAACTCTGCGAATGGCTTGACCACAGTCCGCTGACTGCTTCTGACGTCGTGGGCTTGTTTTCCTCAGGCAAGAACGTAACCAAAGCTTGAGTACAGCTTAATTAACTTAAGAGGTTAGAGAGCTCAAAATCGCAAACAGAGACGATGAAAAAGGAGAATCTTGTGCATGTTTTAGGGATTTTGTGAGTTCGATTTAGTATATTGTGTGCACAAAACCCCAGGGCTGCATATGTATCTCCATGTGTAGCATTTTCCTTTATGTTTTATTTGTGCCGTGCTGTTGTGGCCGCTTCATGGTTTTGCCTGCACAGCTCCATGTCTGGCTGATGCTTCCTTTGAATGCAGCCCAGTCTTGTTTGTTAGTGTTTGTTTACACAGCTCGTTGTAAATGCTGGGGCCAAGCTGGCGGCTGCCGCCCACCTCCCGTTTGCTTGGTACGCTTTGGTTTCTAAGCTGCCCCATGCAGCCTTTCTGGCTTTTGGTCTATAACTGAAAGCAAGGGGCGGGGGAGGCCACGCAACCTCGCAGCATCACGTCCCCAAAGTCGCATTAAGCCATGCAACCTCGCAGCATCACGTCCCCAAAGTCACAAGGCCACGCAACCTCGCAGCATCACGTCCCCAAAGTCGCATTAGGCCATGCAACCTCGCAGCATCACGTCCCCAAAGTCACAAGGCCACGAAACCTCGCAGCATCACGTCCCCAAAGTCGCATTAGGCCATGCAACCTCG